ACTAATTCTGTTTGTAATAATCTTTGTATAGACTTTACGAGTATGTTCAATTAAGCTTATAGGATGAGTAAGGTTAAAATCTCCATCAAATGTATTACGCTTTGGAATAGGGTATATTCTGCTATGCTTCCATTGTTTTGGAGTTTGGCCTGAGTTGAGGCAGCAATTAAATAGGGCAGTTATAGCTTTAATGCAGACAACACCTGCATGTTTAAGCATTTTATAACTGATCTCTGTAGGACCACAGACTTTCCTATTAGGGAGTTTTGCTATAGTTTGAGACACTTCTTCTTCTGTAATAGGAGTAATAAGAGAATCATACTATTGGGTATCAATATGTGGTTGTGAATCTTGAAAATTTTCATCAGAATTAGATTTATCTTTATTATAATTTCATGCTTATGCATTTTCTAATGCCTCTTGTGTATTTATAAGTTCTAATCTATCTTGATATCTTAATAATATTAATGCAAATTTTTGACAAAGCAGTTCTGTAATATGATTTTTTTGTTGATTTATTTTACTAATCCTATTTATTTGATTTGTTCTTACTGTATTTATTTCTTGTTTAAGATGTTCATTCTCATTCACTAATCTGGTTGTTTAATCTTGTGCTTTAGGTATATTTTCAGCTGATTTTGATATTTCTCATATTCTGGTTTTTAATTTTGTTTTATGTTCTTCGAATTCTGATATTAACTTATCCTTATTTGAGATTTTCTTATCTTTCTTTTTATTTTCTTCTTCAAGCTGATGAATAATTCTTTTTAGTTTTGAGATTTCTTCTGTTAATTCTTCTTTTTCTTATATAGAAAGTTTTATAGCATTACCTAACACTTCTTCAAGGAATCACATTCTTTCTTTCTGTATACCTATAACTCTTTCTAAGGTATATAGTCACTGTTCGAAATTCCTATTTGATTCTGCTAATTGTGATACTACCTCATAGAGTTTTTGGTTGGTTTGTTGTAACTCTTTCATATTTTTTATTATTATAATAAAACAAAGAAATGAAAAAACCTGTAATTTATATAGACTCACAAAGGGCCCATGATTTGAATAGGAAGTTTACTTTGCAAAAAATTTATTATAGGCCTAAGAATTATTATTAAATTACTGAAAAAATGCAAAATGAGTATAGAAAAGCTGAATATAATTTTTTGTTAGCTGAGATATATACTTGGTTAAATAAGCAAGCCATTTTTCAGATTCACAAGCCACCTTCAAGGTATATTTCTTAAGTTTCATTTAATACTATTCAAATTTCTAATAAATGTTATCAGGCTGATATTCTCTATATGCCTTATGATAAAATTGAAAAAATAACCTATAAGTTTTGTCTTAATGTAGTAGATATAGTGAGTAGATATAAATCATCAATTCTAATTAGAGATATTATTCCTAATATTGATGTAAACTGGCTAAAAGCTAAAGATGTTAATCTAAAAAATATTTTAACTTCCTATGCTATTGCTATAGTATTTAAGAAAATCTATAATGATCCAACATGTTCACTTATTTATCCTAAATTATTATTAACAGATAAGGGCTCAGAATTTAGAAGAGATTGTGAGAGACTGATGAAAAAGTATAGTGTAAAAATCCAGAAGGCTAATTCTAAACACAATATAGGTATTGTTGAAAAATAAAACTGAACCTTGGCAGAAAGATTGTTTTGAATACAAGATGCATTAGATTTGCTATTGCCAATATCTGAAAGATCTAGAACTTGAGTAAAGAATCTTCTAATTATTGTTAAAGAACTTAATAATTCTATAACTCGACTTCTTAAAATGGCTCCTGCAGAAGCTATTTAAAAAAAATGAGTTAGTGCTATATTTTTTTTACTTCGCAATGGTCTTGTTGGATTTAATGAATCTTAATTATCTTATAATATTTCTGTAAGATATTACTTAAACCAGGTAAGTTAAAAGGTAGAAAACATCATGTAACTAATTGTTATTAGTCTCCAAAAGTTTATTACATTAAAAAAATCATTAATACAAAAAAATCAACTAGTGTTGTACTGGCTTATAGATAAAAATAATAATGGGCCCAAAAGATCGTTTGTAAAAGAACAATTAATAGTAGTTAAGAAGATTGAATATCCACCTAAATGAGTCCTTAAACAATATTATATTTCTAAACCATGAATTTTTTGAAGAATTTCATCTACTTCTGATTTTGTTTGCTTTTCTATTTTTTCTTTTTGATTAGCTATTTCTAAATATAATTTATATAACTTTTCTAAACTAGTATATATCTCTTCATTGTATCAATCTTTAAAATCTGCTATTCTTTCATTATAGGTTTTCTCATTTGGAGCATGCTGTTTTGCAATATATCTAATATGATCTTCTGAATCTCTTTTTCGTTATAAAGTTTTAAGATAACTTACATATAATGTTCCTAATTTGTCATATTTTTTAGTGCCTTGGCTATATGCTACTTTAATTACTTTAACTAAAGTTAATTTGATATCTTTATGATCTATTATTTTGAATATTTGTATTTTTTATTATATATTACTTTATTCATATTTTTTGTTTAAATAAAAAATATTTCTTTTACTCATGTCTGGAAAATTTACTTGTGATTATTTACATAACTCTGGTAAAGTTTGTGGTCATGGTTGTCATCATTTTCAAGGATGCCATAAACATTGAAGGTATAAAAAATGCATCTTCTGCAAAGTTTGTAGTAAACCTACTAGTTCTATACCCAAAGCATGTAAAGATCATGCTAGTAGGTTTTATGTCTTGCTATTTTATTTTCACCAGCTCCACCTTCTCGCAGATATTGTTCAAAGCCAGAATGAAACTTAATCTTACCTTCTTGCATATATGTTTGAAATTAGAAAAAACTTGCAAACAGAAGATATAAAAATATATCAAAAAATTAGTACTGATTTTAATGATTTTTAGCTTTAAAAACTTGCAAACTAAAGAGTATAAAAACATATCACAATTAGTTACTATTTTTTAAGTCCACCTTCTTATGACTTCATCACTTGAAGTCAGAAAAAAAAGTTTTCATATGAATAATGATGTGATTAATAAGAGATTTATATTTGCTTTATCAGTTGAATAATGAAAAATTTATGTTCACTTTGTAAAAAAACACCAAAAAATTAGTATCAATTTTAATAGACTGATGAAAAAAACTCATAAAAGAGAAGGTGTAAAAACATACAAAAAAGTCTGCTTATATGCTCTGCTGCTGAAATCAAAGAAACATAAACATATTATTGAACTTCAGCAAATAATTAAAAAAGCAAGAAGTAAAAAGTATTAAGAGGTGGAAAGAACAAAGAAGCAGAAATAAATAATAAATTCCAAAACATAGAGAAAAAGCTAGAAGTAATGTTGCCAAAATTATATAGGCAATGGTCAGAAGTTGGATAAATAATATGAAAGGTTGGCAAATAATAGTTAAAAAAAAAAGAAAAGAAGAATAGGAACAAGTACAAAAGAAACAGATAAAAGAAAACATAAACAGAAGATGTGAAATGATCAAAATAGATTAAGATTAAATGATTGCAAGTTTACTAAATAAACTATATAAAAAGATTATTCTAAACAGATTTATAACACAAGACAAAAAAGAAGTTAACCTAATATCAGAACCAAACACAGTTCTAAATAGTTTAACAACTTATTTTAAAGAACAATTTAGAAAACAGAGAACTAAGCTTGATGAAATGACAGAAGAATGGAAAAGAGTATATGATTCAAAAGATTGGATCAATAAAATCTGGTATAAGGAATTAGAAGAAAAAATAGAAGAAAAAGAATAGAAAAAAATACTTAAAAAGCTTAAAGCAGATACAGCTCTAGAAATATTAGATATAAGCTATACATTAATAAAATATGCAGAGAAAAGATCATAAAGAATTTTTAGAGCCTTTGTGAATCTAATTCTAAAAAAAAGAGACATATCAAAGAAGTGAAAAATTGCACAAATATATCTAATTCCAAAAGATGTAAATTGGGGCTACTGCTTAAACAATATAAGGCCAATAGTATTGATCAAGACCTTTAGAAAAGTTGTTACAAAAGTAGTGACAAGAAGATTAGCCAGAGTGTTTACAGAAAGAAACATACTCAAAGGACCAAATTACACAGGTCTGTCAAGTAACTCAACAGAGCAACTGATATATATACTAAACATGATAATGAAAGAGGCACAAGAAAAGAACAAAGAGATATAGATATTGTTACAAGATATGAAAAAAGCATTTGACTCAGTTTCATTAGAGAACCTAAATTAGGCTCTAAAAAGAGCCAAAATTCTACAAAAAACAAGAAAATATATAAGCAATCTGTTTTGCAAACAGCAACTTAAAGTCTCACAGCTTATAATCTAACAGAAAAAATAATAGCAAAAAATGAAATAGACCAAGTAGAAGTAATATCACTACTAATTTGGCATTTTTTTTTTTCGGTATTAAGGTGATCTCTTTGGTTCAAGCTTTTTATTAATACTTATATCAGGTATATGTTTTATATAGACGTATCTATAATGAACTATTAGATGAGTGTACAACTGGCTACACATGTAACTTTTCTATATTACCTATTTAAGAAGTCTGCCTGAGGGTTCCCTACCAGTTGCTGTACCTAACACTCCTGCTTAGATGTTCCATTTAAACCCTCTAATCTAACCCTTGTATTAATTTCACTGAGTCACATGACCCAGATCTATTCGCTATCGACCATAGGACTATAATCCTTAGACTATTTTTATTCTTGAGGTAAATTTACCAGAGCGAGCCGTATTCTCTTTTACTGCTAACCTGGTTTGACACTATGACTGAGGCCAACACTTGCAGTCAGGGTTACTCCTTAAACCACTATTACCCTTGTAAAGTTTACCCAAACCCTGGTACCCATTTTTTTGACTTCTTCTCCATCATCTCCTACTAGCCGCAACTCAGAATCAACAACGGACTTCCCTCTACACATCTTTGTTATCTGGTTTATCTGACAGTTCCTATGAAGGTGTTTTATAGGCTTCTGTTAGTCCAATGGCACTATTGAAAGTTTGTGCTATCTCTTTATTCAGGATTTCCAAGTAAGTTTCCATCTCTTTGGTTTCTTAGCCTTCTACACCTGGTGGTCTTATCGTGGATTTGCCTAAAACCTTATACGACACTGGTTTTACATTCCTCTATGTACATGTACCATGTAATGTTACACTTCGCATAGATGCCCTGAGCTCCCAATGTCAGGTAGGGCCTGACTTGGTGTACCTAAGATTACAGATGCCCAAAACCCAACTAATCGGCAAGAGTTAGTTACTGTAACACAGATATAATTTCCAAAATTCATCATCTGTGGGAATTAAACCTTAGACCTGCCACTTGAGGGTTGACAACCTATCCACTTTACTAGGTCGCCACACCCCTACTAATTTGGCATTTTTTCTATGATTTATTATTGAAAAGAATATAAGAAGATAAAACACTAGGCTATATAGTAAAACAAAAAATAATAGAAAAAGTATGTAGTAATAATATTGCAAGTTATAGACAAGTAGCAATTACATATGCTAATGATACAAGATAGATCATGAACAGCAAAGAACAAATATTAAGAACTCTAAGCTTTGCAGAAGAGTTCTTTAAAGCAAATAATATTAAAATAAATAGATTCAAATCAAAGCTCATAGTAATGAATACAAGAATGAAAAAAAAGAAAGAAAAATTATATTTGGGCATAGTAAAATAAGAGAAAAACCCAAAAATAAAATTGTAAGATCATAGCAGAATAAGAGAAGCACTAGTTTGCAAGAAAGCAAAAGGAATAGTTAGTCAAACAGTTAAAGATCTAAAATATAAAAAAATAATAATGAGCCAAATCGTATATATAAACTATATAGTAATAATTCCTAAGCTAGAATATCTTTTACAGCTAACAAAAATGCTAAATAAGATGATTGACAAAATTCATCAACTATTAATATGCTTAGCTAAACATAAATGCAATATGAAGAGAACATTAAACAATTGCATAATGGAGCATAAAGACTTAGAAAATTGCAAAACACTAAGCCAAAAAATAATGACAAAGCAAATAAGTAGTCTTTTTTCAAGACTTAATAGATAAGATAGTGTGGGTGAACTAACAAGACTTAGAATAACTCAAGGATGCCAAAAAGCAAGCCAAACAAAGGACATTTAGAACAATAAAAAAAAAATAGAAGACAAGAAGTTTTGAAAGAACAATTTTAACTATTGAACAATAGCCAAAGCAAAAGAAATAGAGATAAACATTAAATTAAAAAAATCCTTATGAAAAGTTTACAAATATAGTAAACAGATAAGAGACATATTAGAAACAAAAACATAAATAGCAAGTAGTAGTATAATAAATAAATAAAGGTTATTATACCTAAACCAACTTATAGATATGAAAAGTGACAACTTGATCATATAGAGACAGCTTAAGAGTCTTCAAGACCTGTCATACAAAGGAAAGAAGGCTAAATGGTTTAGGAAAATAAAAGAAAGAATGCTAAGAATACAAACAAGCAGAGAAATACAAGACTACTACAAAGTAGGAAGATACAATACACAAGCATTAAATATTAAGTAGATTAAAATGTCTAAAGATCAAAGAAAGAAAGAATAG